CCGCAACGGCCCAATTTCATAAAAAAAAAAAAAAATGAATAGAGGAAGTCAGGAAGAAGATGAACCAGAAGGAACCACTGAACCAATTACCGGCGCCACGCCGGCCATCTTCTTCTCAAAACTCTTCCGGCGAAACCCAGCATGCGCGACCCCCCCTCCCCCGGTCGGGTGCTGGGTTCGGCTTTAATGACGAGGCCTTTTTATTTAGCCTCGTTTGGCTCTCATTATTTGCCATTTTAATGATTGGAGTACTATTTTTTTTTTTTTTTGAAAATGTGTGATTAAAAAAGATACAAAAAAAAAAAAGAAAAGAAATTTTGAATTTACATGCAATATTACTTTTTCTTAAGACGAGTTTAATTGATTGAAGTAAAATGAGTTTCAGAAAATTAATTACTGAACAACTTGAACTTCTTGTAAGGATGGATTCAGAAATTATTGACAATGTCTTTTATTCCACAAGTTTTCTTTAGTCAAATATCCAAAGTTGGGTAAGAATTTGAGTCGCATGAGGAGGTGTGTAGTTTCTATAATCTGTATGCACGATAAGCGAGATTTAGAAAAAAAAAAAAAGAAGAAGAAGAAGAAGTAGCAAATAGTAAGAAGAACAAGGAAACAAATGAGACTTACTGGAAATATTTGTGTGCTCAAAGAAAGGAAAAATGGATGATAATTACCAGAGGAAACATAAAAATCTTGTGCCACGGGTTGGGGAAAGAAATTGTGGAAGTACACGAGTTGGATGCAACGCCAGAATATATGGGTTTAAACAACAAACTGGACAGGATAGGGTCGAATTTATAGAGAAGGATAACCACGGTACTACTAGTAGTAGAGTACATTTGCTAAGATCACATCGGACAATGTCGACCACAAAGAAGGCACTACACAATAGTTTTTGGAAGACAATATGCCAATATGTCAACATATGAGACTTTAGGAGATAGATTCAGGCAGTCCTTCGTCGATTGGATTTGTGGAGAGAGATATTAAGAACTACGAAAGGAATATACAAGTGGAACAAATTGGTCATGATGCAAATGATCCGATCGAGCATTTTACGTTTGAGAAAGAGAAATTCCCGAACCTGTATTTCGATTACGAGATTGACTTGGATAGGAAGTTGGTTCGATTCTTTTGGGTTGATCCGGAGTCAAGAAGATCGTATGCAAACTTTGACGATTTTGTTGTGTTCGACACAACCTACAACACTAATAAGTACACGATGATTTTTGCCCATTTTGTTGGAGTGAACCACCATGGATAGACAATTATTTTTGCTTATGGGTTATTGAGCGATGAAATAGCTGAATCATTTGTTTGTTTATTCTCAAAGTTCCTTGAAGCAATGACAAACCATTCACCGTCGGGGGTTATCATTACTAATGAAGATGCTGCAATTTCAAAAGCCATATCAATGGTACCTCCCACGATATTGCTTCGTTACTGTTTGTGGCATTTTCTTAACTAGTTTTCAGAAAAGATCAATGTTATGCTATACAATGAGCAAAATATCTTCAAAAATTTGAGACACCCGAGGAGTTCGAAAACCGTTGGAATGAGTTAATGGAAACTACACAACTAGATTGCAACGAATCTCTCAATAGCATGCACGAGATACATTTTCGTTGGGAACCTGCATATGTGAAACATGTTTTTAGTGCAGGCATGTCTAGCAGCCAAAGATCTGAGATCAGATACTCATTCATAAAGAAATACGTTAAGTAGAAGATTTCGTTGATGGGTTTCATTACTCGTTTCAACAGGGCACTAGCTCATCAACGACATGAGAAGTTAGTTTCAACCACTTCGATCTCATTGAACAACCAAGATTGACACGATAGCCATGATGGAACACCAGATGGTCCAAATCTACATGAAAAAGATTTTCATGTCATTTCGGAAGGAAGTGGAGCGAAGTAATTTCTACATTTGCTTGAAGAGGTCGGACCCCATCGATGCTAAAATGTATGGCATTGAACGGTTTGAGTTGGGGAAGACTTTTGAAAGTCAATGTGTGCTTACCTATTTCACGAATTCGAATTTCATCACATACAACTGTGAGATGTTTAAATATGAAGATTATCCGTGTCAACATATGCTTAGTTATTTCAAGAAAAAACCAAGTTTTGCTTTTGCCGGAGAAATCATTCTATGAAAATGGATGAAGAATGCTAAGGTTGGGTCAATCGACGAACCTATGGTTGGTTTATCCGTTGATGATGGTTACAGGCAATCACTGATGGGAAGACATGGGATTGTCATACAAGGCTTCTTTGCTAGTCGACGATACTTCTTGAACAGATGCTCGCATCACCTATTTATTGGGCAAATTTGATAATTGTTCATCAACTTGAAAGAGATCGATAACCGAGGCAATATTGTCATGAATAAGGCTAGAAGCAAAAGTTGATAAAAAAGCCAAGTTGTAGGTGATCCAAATGCCGTAAGAGCAGAGCAAAAGGGTGCGGAAACCGACTTAAATCGTAGAAGGAAAAAGCTATTTCCAGAGGTAGTAGGGAATGTTGTTCATGTGGTGGTCATAGCCACGACAAACGGACATGCCTGAATTTAAAAAACAGGTAATTATTTAATTTTTTTGGCTCGTTACTAATATGTTGTGCAACTCATCTAATATTATTCTACTTTTTTAGATTGAATTTGGTGGACGAACCATACAATCCCAAATTTGATCACGAGCGGGATGATTTTAGAGAAGACGTATTGTCAGTAGCAATTACAATGTTTTTTTATCTGTAGTTTCGTTTGTATTTTTAAATAATAATTTTTTAGAGACGATGTAATATTTGCTTTATATGTTTGTTATTAACACTTGTAAACGTTTTCATTAAATTGCGCACAGATCGATAAAAAATCAATGAAATTGTAAAATTCTTAATACATGGATAATTTCACTCATAAATATTACACAAGTTGGTAACGACTTAATGACATTGCCGACAATTTGGCATTATATGAATAAAAAAATCTATTTACTATGTTAAAGGATGATAGTTTCCCCGCCCATTTGTTTCAACAGTTTTCCCGCCGCTCTACCGCTGTTTGAGTAAATACAGAATGACAAAACAATTTTTTAATATTATTTTGTCAGGATATTTATCTGCAGCGATATTTTTCAAGATATTTGCAGGATTTGCAGGTTTTGATTGACATGATTGAAAAAAAGGCAAAACAATACATATCTTAAAACAATACATATTTTAAGTTTTTAAGTCCAATTATCTTCTCACAAAAAGTGTTATATCACCATTTTCAAGTTTCACTGTTTCCCATATATTTTCGTTCATCATCAACGCTCTCCTCTCATGTAAGCGACCGGCCCTTTTTTTTTT